CCGCCGACGCCGAGAACCGATGTTCCGTGTCTACGCCGTGGGCAATTAGATTCACGTCGGCGAGAACTGTGTCCTCTGCGGCGGCGGCAGCCAGGTCGGCCCCTCAGTGACTGTGCCGGTGGCTTGCAAGGCATTGGCCGCTTTCTGTCCTGTGTTCCTGCCACTGTTTTGTGCAGAGCGATGTGACAGTGGCGACGGACTGGGGCGTTTCCCTTCAGGAGCTTGTGAGCACGTCAGGGCTGAGATTTTGTAGAATTCCATCCCTGGGCCGGGAACTGAGTTCTCCCCACCTCCCAAAGCACCTGGCCTTTTCCTCCGAGGGGAATGGACAGGTAGGGGCAGACAAACAGCCGTTCGCGTGGACCTCGTTCTATGCAGAAGGAGCAGGGCCGTGTTCCGGCCCAGGCCGCAGAGGACGCTTCGCCCCTGGAGGCGTCTGCGAAAGAGCAATGAGGGGCACCACGGGACAGCCCACGGGGTGCAGCCGAAGTCCAACTTCCGACTTACGCAAAGCCCCCTTGAACTTGACTTCAGGAGGCATGGGTGCTGCACGACAGCCCACCATACATAAGCTCAGCGCCAGGACAATCAGAAGAGACCGCCAAGTTGGGGACCAGGAGCTGGACGTCCCTGACTCCCTGGCACACCTGGCCTGGGGCCTCCGGGTGCAGGACGAGGTGACTGCCGGTTCGGCAGGGCGCGGGGAGGAGGGGCATTCAGGAGCCGCTCCCCTGTGCCGGTCCTCGTGGGGGCAGCGGGGGACCCACCTCCTCCCTGCAATGTCTGTTCTGAACCCCCCAGGGCGGGGTCCCCATGTCTGTGACCCCTCCTTCTGTCCCTAGCACCTCAGGCAGGGTCAGGACAGCCAGGTGCCCAGTCGAGGTCCCCAGGATGAAAAAGTGGGTGCATGTCCGTGCCCCTTTTTATGGAGCTGCCCCTGACATGGGCGAGAGCATGCAGAGAGCTGGCAAAACAGGCCGGTTCGATCCACAGCAGCCCTCCCCCCGCCTCCTGGCCTCTGACGGTCCTCTAGAGAACACGGGCCTGGCCCTGCTGGTGACTTCGGCGTGTCCCCTTCATCCTCGGCCTTCTGGCAGCCCGCTGGGCTCCAAAGAGCAGGCTCCGCCTCACCGCCCACTTTTCAGGCACTTCAAGGTCGCAGCCCAAGTGCTCCCAGGGAGCTGCTGTCTGAGCCCCGCAGGCTGAGCCCCGTCTATTCCTGGGACTGACAAGCCCGGGAGCGCTGGTCTGGAGGTCTGAAAGGAACAGGTCCGCCAAACAGTGGCCGGAGCACCCGGGGTCAGGCTCCCGCGTCTACCTGCCATCGAGAGGCTGCTGTGACGGTATTTCACAGGCGTGGTCGAGGTCCACGCTCCACGGACGCTCAGTGAGGGTGACGGCCCCGTTACCGTGCGTGAGCCGCCCCCAGTCCGCTGAAGGTCCCAAGACCAGATCTGAGGAAGAAGGGACTCTGCGTCTAGACTGCGGTGGGGACTCCCACCCGAGCCCAGCGCGTCCCAGACACCGCGACCTCAAGACTGTGTGAGCCGAATCCTTAACACGGACCTCTCGAAGCCCTGTGGTTGTGTCTCTGCGGAACCTCGCAGGCCGGGCCCCACGCTCCACTCCAGCAGGCGGGCGGGACTCAGGGACGGATGGGCAGGCAGGGGCACTGCACTGGTCACTTCGACAGGGGAGTGACACGCGGCACGTTCCTGTCTCCCCGGCATTCTCGGGGGAGTGATGGTGACACTTGGTGACCGGTCGACATCTGTGTCACAGCTCAGCTCCACAGAAGCCTGGAAGCCACCTCGAGTGACGAAGCTCCCTCGGTCCCTGTCACCCGCCACACCCGCCGTCCTCCACGGAGGCAGAGGGACGGACCCTGGTCAAAGGCAGATGGAGTCGGCTGAGCTTCTTCACGGGCAGGTCCCCCAGATCGACAGACCAATGCGGAGACGAGTGCGGCTGACTGAGTCCCCTCAGTATCCACCACCAAAACACAGCAGTTGGCTTCAAAAGCTGGGGTTGCCCTTAAACATCCTGCGAGGGGGCATCCTGGGCCCTCTTAGCATTCCGGGAGGGTCCGAGAGAGGAATAGAGCAAAGCTTCCCTGTTTGCTCGCAAGGACACTGTCCAGTCGCCCCAGAAATGACTTCACTTCCCAGGAGAGACGCTCTCTGCACCAGCCTGACAGGGGCCACCAGCGTCCCTTCCCAGGTCCTAGGCTGAGGAACACGGGAGTCCGTGTCTTTCTTGGGGACCGAAGCCTCTTGGCCAGGCTCATGAGAGCCCCCACGCCCCTGTCCGGAGTCCAGGGGTAACCCCTCAGCCTCGGACCGGCCGGGCGTGCAAGCGGACATCAGCCGCTGAAGCACACACGGCCCCGCGTCAAAGGAAACGGTGTCCTCACTTCTCCCGAGGACAGCAGGCCCCTCCCCGCCCCCTCCTCCCTTTTAATTCAGGAAAAACACGGCAAAAACCAGAGAGTTCGGTCTCTGCAGCGCTGTTCTCAGCTCCTCCCCGAGTCCAGGCTGGCCTTCCTGAGCAGGCCCGAGGCCAGACGGGGGACAGCGGCCAGGACACGGCTCCCGTCGCTGCCAGCAGCCGGAGACCGTCTGGGCGCCCTTTGCCCTAAGTACGCTGTCCCTCTCCGTCCTTGTGTCCCCGTCTGTCCCGCTCTCTCTCCCTTCCCCTCC